AATGCTGTGAGTCTCTGCACCAAAGATGGCCCACTTTCATCCCAGTCTGCTCCCCTCCTGTTCTTTTGGCTGGATCTGGATCAACATACGCCCAAGTGGAGCAGCTTGACTTTGCTCTGGCCCTTACTGAGAAACTTTTAGCTGAGCAGCGAGGGAGCAGAAGGCCCAGTGCAGCTGGGCCAGCATACTCAACACGCACAGGACACATTCAGCATCATTCTGCTCTGGTAAGCCATTCGACTCAAGGCTGATTTATACCTCTACTGATGCAAGTAAACAGAGAATCATAATTTGCAGAGGAGCTGACATGCACACCAGGGGCATAGCCGTGGGTTGGCCTGGGTGGGTTGGGAAATACAGAGATTGATCTACCCAATCAAATGAGGAAAGAAAATTTATTAAGCAGCATTTTTTAAAGATAATGAAATTTGATTTGTTTTCTGTTGATTTGTGAGCGCTATCATTGCATAATAGATAATCAAAACTGTTATGATCTCTGCGAAATTCCTGAATGACTGAGGTATAGTCCAACTGACCAATCCCAAGCTCTGAGTTTTCTCATTTGACTTTATTATGTTGTCTTCATTGCAAAAATTGTACCGGTCACATGTGGACGGATGCTTTACAGTGAAGGCTGTTGTAGTGCTGCTTGTGTTTATGTGAATCTCGCATTCTGGTAGATGTGTGCACAGTTTGTTTTGTATCACCATAGTGTGTTTGAATAGGCATAATGACTGCTGTCAGCAATAGGCTATAGCCAGATGTTATGACATTGTGGGTTTAGAAAATGTCTAGGAAATATCTAACAAGTTGGCCTTCACCCTTTTTGACAGGCCTAGCCAAAAATTTCTGCAAATGCCACTGATACACACCACCATATCATCTGCATGGTGTGCCAATCTGCAGGGTTGTGCTGACTGGTTGAGCAGCAGCATTAGATTAGCACTGAGATTGGGACAAAACTCAAAATAAAACTAAATAAAATACCACACGATACAAATATCTTCTTTATGGCATCCAACAATTCACTTGTTCTATCCATTCTCTCTCTACTACAACGCAATGCAAGACGTTTTCCCATGGTTGATAATTGATTGTCGTCCTTAGGTTTCTTCTTTGTTGTCTAAATATGCTGGTATGATTTTTATGACACTGCCTCCCAGTGCACATATCAGAAGTATCTTGGCAGACTTCTTAAGTAAACATCTTATATGAATTTTGTACTTTTCTCTTTACCTTAAGTGAGCTGCGTAAAATCTCTTCAGGGAAATGTTTAAGTGCACAGTGAAAAAAATCTATTTTATTAGACTCAAAGTTTAAGTCTTCTATCACTTCAGTTTCTGACAGGTGCAAAATATAAATGTAAATGTACAGCTTTAAATCGATTCCTTAAGCATTTTACTTTGCCTTAAGCTTTTATGCAAGTGGCTAAGGGCCCTCACAACATATAAAGAAGAACCTGGACTTTTCACATAAAGTGGAATTCCACCAATTTTAAAAAATGTCTGTATAGTTAAATGGTTAAGATGTAAACAAAGTCTTTCAGTGTGGTTCTAGAAAAAATTACCAAGGCAGAACACCAAGTCACAGCAGTGGTAATAGGAACCAGATGTCTGAAATGTTTAATGCCCCGAAAAGCTCCATCACAGAAAGTTATTACATGAAATGGTTACAAATACACTGGCTGATGTTTGTCACATTGAGTTTTAAGATTAGATTTAAGCCTAAAAGTTACATATTTTTATCCATTTGCAGTGAAGAGGAACATGCAAGACAAAAAAGTCCTTCAACATTACATATTCAAACTCATATTCAAAACTGCAGGTTCAGTTATTTTTTGGGATCGTAATTGAGTATTTTTGCGTTGTAGACATTGCAACCCCTGGTTTCTATCACCACCCACATAAAGAAGTCGATAAGTTTCTCAACAATGAATCAAATCACTGTGAATGTTTACATCTCAAGAGCTGAATTATGCAGAAAACTGTGAAAAATTGATGTAGTTTTCCTTTAACAAAACAATGCCAGAGGAGGGCTGAGCGTAGGGAGAATGAGTGAAGGGGAGTGGAGTTTATTCTTTGCTTCTTTTTTGGGTTACTCCCTGGTGAGTGCCCTTTTTCTGCGTAGCCTCATTGACCCTGTTAGGCTCTGACTGCACATTCAGTTCCCGGAGGTTTCCTTTTAGACAAACAATACAAGCACATAAAAACCTCCCTGCAAAAACTGCTATATGAAAGGACAAAACCTGATTTGAAATATGTATGATAAAGGCCTGCAATCAGCTGACCTCAGTGTTTTCTCTACAATTTTTTTAAGCAGCAGTGGCAGGCCAGAATCTGCCCCCACTGACCGCTGCCCCAGCCCCCCAAGACTGGGTCGAGACTGACCATGCTCCAGTCCCCCGCCCGGAAACACTGGACCTGACAGAAGCCATACCTAGAGATAAAAGACCACTGTGTTCGTACTGGTCATAAGTCACATGCCCAGGCAGACAAGGTCAGCTCTTAGGACCTGTGAATGTTGCCTTTGCAGTGCACCTACAGCATGTCACATAAAGCACTGGAAATTGGAGAGGAAGGGAGGGGGGCTGGTCTAAGTACCCTGAAGCAATGGTGGAATGAATGGGCCTTTTCCTAGCATCAATAAATCTGTGCTAATCTTCCTGCCTAGACTTCTCCAGGGAGGAGACGGCTATGATTCCATTGGTCTGATGGCACAGTTCACCATGCCTGCTTGTGGCGGACCAGTAATTCCCTGCACTGTTTCTCTCTGGCCTGCTCTGAGGGGCTTTGGGAGCCATAGACCTCTGTGCTTCAGGGAGACTGCTAGGCTGCTAAGAGGGGATTGGAACACAATAGTGTACAAAGCTCAATGAGAGAAATACAGTGAATGAAGACTCATTCCATCCAAGTCTCATCCAGTGGCATCCACACTTTTAGAGAAAGCCAAGAAAACTTCACATGATCTAGTGGTTGTGGTGCAAAGGGCTTTAAACTGGTTAAAGTAATGCATCAAGCAGCTCAGTCTGCCACTAGGATAACATGCTGCGTGGTTTCTGAACAACTGCAAGCATACATTGCAGACTACTATTCAAATCATTTTCCTATCAGCTTATTTTAGATGTCGGAAACATTTTTTCAATCACAGGAACTATGAGAGGTGACAGAAGCATATTGCTATGCATTCATTTGCTTACTCAAAATGGTAGTTCATGACAAAAAATCTAATGTTCAGCTTTGTTGGAATATTTTCTGTTCATATAAAAACAGGCGAGATGGCTGCATTCAAAGATGACTTCACTTAGAAAGAAGAATAAATTACAAAAGAGAATGACCTATTTCTTACATCTGCATAGAGGGTAGAATATCAAAAATCAGTATACTGTATAATGTGAGTATACAGGCAATGTGCATTCTGAAAATGGCAGTAGCACCAGTGGGACGCAAAAGAAATTCACAGCACGTAGAGGAATATACTTGAAAACATGTTTTACATTTCCAGGACAGCCAAGGGAAATCAGTAGGTTTTCATGATGGATAAGTAATGAAGGTTGCCTTGTCAGATGAGCTAATGAACTAATACTACAGCTAACCACTTCTGATGAGAACTCATCATGTTCTACATGAGGTCTTTTCTCCTCTGTGGACAAAGTGCCAATACATTAATTTATGAGAAATATAATTTCATTGTTTCTTCTAGCTAACATCAGCTAGAGTGCATAGGCTAGCTAGTAAAAAGCTGTGCCAGAGCCAGTCACATCCTTAACAATGTGTCCTTGGTACACTGAATCAGCCTATATATTTTTTCCGTCTTTTTGAAATGAAATATAAACACCTGAACAGTGATTTCAGGATACAGATGCAACTTGCAACTTGAGTACTTGACTACTCAGGGACATCCCTGATTTATACACAAGACTTTTCCAACAAACTCAACTTCGATGAAAGACAGCTCTCAATCCTCCCTGCATCTAGGTCTGCGAGGGACCTCTGATGGCTGCTGTGAACTGGAATGAACTGTGGTCTGTGCTAATTTAAGTTTGTAAAAGATGCTAGCCAGTGGCGGTAGGCCAAGTCCATGGTGGTTCAAGGTCTTGCTGGCTTTAAGATATAAGAGTTTCAAATTCTACCAGTGATCTAGATACACCAAAATATCTTCATATTCATCTGTCGCTCCACTTAACGCACATCAGTCACTATATTAAACTTACTGCTGTAATAACATGTCAATGTACTTGCATATACTGCCCGATACAGGCTCTGAAATGATCCCACCAATCTGCCACAAAAACACGACATAATACTGTATCCGCCAGGTCACTGACAACATTATCTGTCTCGTGCGTGTGCTCAGTTAAACATGTCTAATCAGTGGTGACAGTGTTTGGCACATGACTAAAGCAAGCAGAGCTCCAAAATGTCCAGGCTATTCTGGAGGCCCACTTAATTCTCTTTTCTGCACGTAGCCCCCTATACAACAGTGAGAGGAAGACACGTCCAAATGTCTCTTTTCCGACGTCTTGTGCCAATACGCCACATCCCCACTGGCCTCCCTCCACCAGGGACAGGAGGGGGAGGGGCAAGATGGCTCACTTCCTGAGCCAAAAATAACACCAGAACTGAGAAACCTTAGACTGCAATTGGTTCGCTACAGCTGACCACAATTACGCTTATGACTGGTTGAACACTAGACATTTTAGCCAAAAATGCAATTTTTGAGTTTTCCCTTGACAGCACAGCTGTCTTATATGACAGTTATATATTTTTTTATAAGGTTAAGGTACATCATTTCTTCATTGGTCCAAAAATCGCCAGTTATTATCAGCAAAAAATTATTAAATAATATTATTTACTAGCTACATGAACCTAGTTAAAGCATCCTTTTGGCTGATCATTTTAGTTAAGAGGAAAATTGTGTAAATTTCATTTGTGACCAAATCAAAGAGAAAGGTGACAAGTGGTGGCGATTCACTGCAAATGTTGTTAAAGGCACAAACCCACCTCCAAGCTGTACTGTTCAACTGTCCTCTTGAGGGGATCTACGATCTGCCAGCATATGAGAATGCAGAGATCAATCAGCAGCATCCCCCCTACGATGATCAGCAGCTTCTGGTCCTTGATAATCTGGAGGAAAAGAGAAGAAAGGGATGGGCAGGGGTGAATGGAGGAAGAGAAAGAGAACGACACAGGCGATTGCCGACCACCGCTCCCACGATTCAAAAGGGAGTCTTCTCTCGTACGCTGAACTTTGGAGGATGAAAGCGCTGGACCTGTCTGATCTTTTCTTTTTATTTAACAGCGTTTGACCCGGACGGAATCAAAGGAAAGGTCACGGAGAGGAGGCACTGGGTGCACTTTAGAGGAATCACATGGGAGAAATGCAATGACTCCTTTCAGGTGCCCCAGCTCGAGGCTCAGAATAGAACCTTCGATTGGTTTTGATCCATGGGCTTTTGATGGCTTTGGAATTGGCCAAACAAAGGCAGGCCAAAACCTTTCGTGTCATTGGAAATATTGCAATACATTAGGCTACAAAGACACAGTTAGTGGGCACACATCTCAAGGGCAAGAGGTCCCAGAACACCCACAAATAAGGGTTCAATCATAACAAGCTTGGCTTATGCTTGGCCAGCCAGCAAGAGTTGTAGAAAATGTGCAGACCGTCTGCCCAGATAGATTCCCTTTATCCTCAATCAGACTGAGGTGTACAGTTCAAGTAAACACTCAAACATCTGAAATGATGGAGGATCATGACATTTCACATGGTATTAAGAATATGACAAAATGTGACTTGCAATTACCACGGGAAGAGTTTTCATCCAAAAACCGTAGGTAGAGTCCAGTCATTTGTTTTGCCTGCATTAAAAAATGAGTCTAGCCTAAAATATAGGGGAAACATATTTGAGGCACAATTATGTAGATGCAGTAATAGCTTCGCAGCGATTATCCTGTACTCACAATTTTACAGATGCCAATAAAACAAAACAATAATATTTGGTACTGAGCCCAAAAGCTGCTTTATTTTTGGTTCGCATGCATAGGTGATTATGAAAATGGAACACTCTGTGGGCTCAGGCACCATATCTGGTGTCATTATAGTATGCACACATGTGTCTGGCACCATGGACCATGGAACACATTTTAGATTAGTGGGGCCAGACATGGTCACCAACCCCCAACCTCTGAAATTGTTTCATAGCACACTCTTCTGTTTCACAGCAGTCACTGTAGACTATGTCTATCAAGATGACACAGTATGCTTAATCTGTTTCAGAATCCTGAAGTCTGCTTGTAGAGAGCGGCCGAATTGGTTAAATTCAAATAGGCACAGAACTATACGACTCACTTGTAAAGAAGCAGAGATCAAGTAAAGTTTATTATACTGCTTTGTGATCAAGTGCATTTAAATAATGAATCCATTACATGTCACTTGTTACGTGTCTCAGAATGTAATGGAACGTTACCTATTACTTTGTAGAAAAAGTAATCTCATTACTTCTGCATTACTCTGGAAAACCAACTTGTACCCAAATCCAACAGTCCTTTTGATAATTTATTTGGAAAGAAAGTCAATTAGAGAAGACATACTAGTATCCATGCCTTTTAACAAGACACAGACAGTTATGCTGATTAAAATTATAAACTGCTGACGCTGTTCGGAAACTATTCAGTAAAACAAAGTTCAAAAACAGCTGTTTCAAAATAAAATCTAAAGTTTGAACAAAATTTAAATTTAAAATGCAAAGTTTACATAGCTGTTACCAGGCTGACCTAAGAAACACTGATCAATCAAGAAAATGCAACGACACTATGCTCAGGCAGCTTTACAACTCTGTCCTGAATGAGTGTGGCAGTCTCTTGCACCATTGGGCTGCTGATTTACAGGTTTGCGTTGTGCTGTCTCAGACACCGACTGCCTAAGAGCGCCCGTCGGCCTGATAAACACACACACACATACACAATCCTCCCAGTCACATAAAACAGTCTTTGAGGGTATTCCCACTGACTTGTTTAATAAAGTAGCTGAATAATGCTATGTCTACACCTGTACCTATACTTAACCTGATGCTGATGCTCTCAACCAGAGCATGTTACAACAGTAGGTGAATGTAGTGTTACGAGTTGTGTCCAAGCTATTGTATGGCTGTGATGTACCTTCCTAGATGGAGTATCAAACCTTCAAACTTCCACATGCAGGATGTTGCTGTCCTGCTACAAATGGAAGCACACAACTTCTTTTGTTTCATCTTTGTGGGGACCTCATAAATGTCCCCAATCATCCCAATTCTCATCGTCATAGGGATATTTTGTCCCCACAAAAAGCTAAACACGTGCACACACAAGACCCTGACAACAGACATCACTTGAAGCTGCCGCAGTCCCAGAAGTCTCTCAGTGCGTACAGGAGGAGTCAGCTCACTTGCAAGGTCCTGCACACTAGAACAGAGGGGGAATCAGTCTTTAGGTTACAGAGCTGAGCCAGGACCCAGACTGGCCTCTGCTAACCACAGCATTAGTCTCTGTGCTGATGGAGTGGGATGGATTAAGTAGTGCTAATTGGGCGTGAGAGGTCTGCGTTCACAAAGCAAATTCCCCTTTTCTATCAGGATGCAGCGATGCAATTCAGCGGTTGTTTCAGCACAGCAGACTATTGTGGAGATAAGATTATGATGGCTATTATGAACTAGATGAGTTACGAGTAGTACTGTTAAGCTGATTTATTGTTTTTATTTACTTGTTAAGAAAAAAAACAGCACTTTTGGCTTTTCCACCATGCTAAGACACTCAGGGGCTGATTAACTAAGCCACAAACAATATTTTCTTAACAAATACATGTAGGCTGTTGCAGCTTTGACCTACTTTCTATTCTGTTTTAGTGTACTTTTTTTTTAACATTAACCATTTTAATGGAAATCTATGAAATTGATGAAAAACTACATATTAAATAACATAATACTGAGTAACTTAACATCTTTTGAAAACTACTTCACCTGCCTTTATAATAGACTTTACTGCAAAAACGTGCGTTCATGAGCTCCTTCTGGTGCAGATTTATGGTAACTTGCGTGCTAATAGCACCCCCTGCTGGAGAAACCTCAGACTGCTATTGGTTTCCAAAGCCATGTCCACGCACCATACATATAAAAAAAAAGTTTTCCATTGTTACAGAAGAGTTTTCATAATTCAAAACAACTAGCATACTTAAGCTGTACGGACAATACTGCAAATTTTACTCAGTATATCACACATAGCAGAGACAGTGGATAATTTACCATAGACTAATTTCTTTTAAAGACCCAATATAACGCAATGCTTTGAACAGCAATACAGTAAGCTAATACACAGTCACTTTACTTTAGTTGTTTATTTGTTAATAGTCACGCTAAAGCATGCTTAATTCTAAAGCACATCATTTATTTTTGGTTTCATGCTCTAAAGTTAAACTTAACGTAAAGTAAAACTGTAGTAAGCAAAGTTAGCATCACAGTGCATAGCAAAAAGAACAAGACTTAAGGCAGCTTCTTCTCTCTCTCTCAAAAAGAAAAAACTGACTATTAGGGCACACACCTGCACACTTCATAAATGTGAACCCCAACTTCCCAACATATTTACAAGCTGTTTACTGGTAAATTAGTCCTCTCTAATTCTCTCACAGTTCCTCTCCCAAAACAGCAATTATTGCCTTTTATGCATCACCATCAGGTTACTTGTCCATCACTGACAATATCCAATTACATCTGTGCTGGCAGCAGCACTCATACATACACCTGGTTCTTAGATCCTTAAGTTACTCCACTAGTGGTGTATGATTTCACTGTTGTTAATTAGGTGATAACCCCAGTGTTACTTTATTTTTATCCATTGCATCTTAATGGATGGCCTGGGGTGTAAACTGTGAGATATGACAAAGTGCCCCATGGTCTAAACACACCAAAAAAAGCGTAATGCATCCTGTCTGCGTGTAAGTGACACTATTCTCTCTGTCTCCACTGTTCTCAATCTCTCTCCTTCTCCATTCCTTTCTTTTTCCTTCTTTGAATGAATGCTATGTACCCTTTTCCCCAGGCCTATGACAGCCTATCTCCCTTTTTCATCTCTCTCTCTCCCTCTCTCTCCCTCCGACAGCTCGCCCACTCTTCCTCCCTCACTAGCGCTCAGCCCCCACACAAGAGCAGCAGCAGTAGCAGCAGAGGGCTGTGTGTGTGCTCTATAAATAAAGCAGGGCAGCAGAGCAGTGCAGCTAAGGGCTAGCCATCTTTTACATAATCACTCACACAACAAAGACACACTGTGTCATCTGCCTCACTCCGCACTCGCAAGCTTTCTTATTTTACATCTAAAACTGAGAGGAAGTGGATATAGAAAACACGTCAGAAAAGAGGTCAGCGGGTGTGTGTGAAGACGTGGTGTAAAAACAGACACGGCCTTTTAAGCACTGTGCGAGTACGAGTGTGTATCCACAGTACTGTGCAAAAGTCAGAGACCACCAGAGATAGATTCTTTAATTTCCAGTCAAAACGGCAATGAAGCACAAGTCATTCATTTTTCAGCATCATGAGAAAAAGAGAAAACATATTCAACAGAAAATAACACGGAAGCCTCAATATGATACTGTATTTTTTTAGTATTTAGTGTGTCCACATTTTGTCTTTATTACAGCTTCCATTTTTTTCAGGAAGTTTGGTTTCAGTTTTGCAAGGACATCTGCAGGGAGACTTTTCCACACCTGCAAAGTTCAGTCTTTTTGGCTGCACTTTCTGCTTTTCACAATCCAAGCAATCCAATTACAGATTTAGATTTCTTTTCTTATCTTTAGACTTTGTTGTAAATTTCCTATTCTCAGTAATAGCTACTTGGCTCATAGCTTCTCTCTATGAGTTCTTCTCACAGTGGAAGGATGGACAGAAACACCTGGGGATTTTTCAGGTCTGAAGCAAGAGCTGTTGATATTTTCTTATCTCTTAAAGATGAAAGCTTTAAGTGCTGTTTATCTGATGAGGGCAGTTCTGGTGGTCTACCAGGTCTTGTGCAGTTGTTAGGAGTCACATTTTAAGGAAACACCTGTTTTTTCCACTTATTTTCCTTTGACTTTCCCCTTTCAGATGAAGGTGGATTATCTTGTGTCTAATCTTCTCAGAAATATCTTCTCAAGCCATTTTAGCTGTACATGGGAAAGAAATTTGTAAGGCAGCTAAGGTGTGTGTGGGTAGCTGCTTGTGTGAACATTAGTGTCTCTTTGAAGGGGCACATAATGTCAGTGCGAGCTTTGGAAACAGCTTTTGCTGTAAGTTGTTAGTTCTGAGATTAAAATGATTGAGGAGTGACAATAAGCTGCACAAATAGTAAAGAGTGGTCAAATTAAATACTGATAGATTTGATATTAGTCTTTGAGACTTTTTCGATTTATTTATTTTCTGTTTAATATATGTTTCCTAATAAATGTAATAAATGAATTGTGGTCTCTGACTTTTGTACAGTACTGTACGTGTGTGTATGTGCAGCAATGGATATTATTTCTGCAGCCTATAGTCTGTGTGTGGATATAGAGTTTATACTGAGAGCAGATTGATCTGAAAGTGGGTTACAGATGAAGCTCTTTTGCTCTGAGGAAGTCAGAGATAACTGCTGAAATGTGTGACCTTATTGATGCTATCGTGACCTGCCTGAACACAACCAGCACCTCTGCTCTCTCTCTCTCTCTCTCTCTCTGTTTCTCTCCTCTCTTCTCTCTTTCTCTATTCTCTCATTCTTCTTTACTTCTGCCCTCTCTTTTCCTCCCTTTCTCTACTCTCTTCTTTCTTCCTTGCCCTCTTCTCCATTTTCCCACTCTCTTCTTCCCTTCTTCCACCTTTTTCTCTGTTTTTTTTTCTTTCCTCTCCCCTCTGTCTCTCTCTATATTCTATTTTATTCTCCCATTCATTCTCTCACTCTTCTTTACATTCTGTTTTTCACTCCCTTTTTTCTTCTCGTCTCTAATCCGTCTCTTCTCTCTTTCTTCCACCTCCTTCTCTACTTTCACTTCTTTTCATCCTTTATTGCTCTCTACTCCCTCCCTACCTCTCTGTCTTTATTTCTCTTTTCCTCTCTTTCTTTCATTTTTCATATGTTTCCTCCCCTTTCTCTGCTTTCTCTACTGGCCTCTGTCTTTCTTCCTCTTTTGTTTCTGCCCTGTCTCTTCCTTCCTTCCTCTATCTCTCTTTTCCATTCTCAGTCCCTAACTCTCTCTCTTTTCTGCTTTGTCTCTTCTTTCATTCCTCCATCTCCTACCCCCCTCATGAATCTCTGATAAATGGGCTTGTATGTGAAGCTGCTGAAGCTGCAGTACATGTGTTCAGCTCCAGAGAGGAAGCTGTTTGAAATGAGAGCAGTGCCGCTGCAGCTGATGGTTAATTATCATCCACCTCTATGTTATGTTCCACTGAACCCAGCTAACCATTAGTGGATGAAACACCCTCTAAAACAGCACGTGCTGCAGTGCAGACCTCTCTAAACACTGACCTCTCCAAAGCACTGACTCCCAGCTGCTTCCACATCTAGAAATTACTATGCGTGTGTCTGTGTACATTTAGAAACTTCAGTTCAAGCCAAAGTGGCTACTGCTCTGATCACCTTAGGAATTCTGATGAAATGTATGCTGTCACACACATCTTATAGAAATGAAACAAAGAGCGCTTCATTAGGAAAACATATCGATGTACCAGAGAGCATACAAAAAAGCACAAGTACAAACGGCATATCATTGCTGCTATGAATATAAACCCTTTGTATCTCTAAAAGGAAGTTTTATTATGATGCTGAGAAAATGCTAGACAGCTCACCTTCTTCTTCATCTTCACGTTCTTGAAAATGGCATGCACTCTCCAGGTCTTGGCAAACATGGCTCCAAACGCTGTTGTGTAACCCACAATGAGGATCCACGTGCGAACCTGAACAGGAGACATCACTTCAACTAAAATGGCAGCACTTAAGCTTCCGTTGACTGACAGCTCACACTGCAATGATCAGTGAAGCATCATTTTTTACTGTGTGCTGTGACACAAAAGAATTAATGCCACATGTTCCTGCAGACATGGCGAATTCAACATTTAAGAAAGAGTTTCAATTTTATGAAAGTATTAAAGGAGAAAACGTCAAACAATAGCTAAAAACAGGATGTACAGGGTCTAAAATCTGAAACTACTATTAAAAAAATCTATTTTACATTCTATTTTAAATGAATACTTTTTTATTATAAATGATATTATCAGCATAACAATTTGAGTGAAAAGTAGTTTGGTATGTCCCCCTTTTCCTTAAATGATTATGTGCACAAGTTCCACAAGTTTATCCAAAGCCTCTGAAAAGTAGATCAAATCCACCTGAGAGTCATCTGAGTGTGTGCTTCAATGGATGGGATAAGACTAAAAAAAATCTGACCTCTTTGTACAAAGGTTTTAAAATTGCCAATGTTACAAATAAGTTTAAATTTGAATAGTGACCTAAAACGGCAGAATCTTGAATATTTTACAGCAACCAGAAAGAATTTCACTAATGAAAATGAGGAAATTTAATGTACATTTTATGTGAGCTTGCACAAATAGTTTAAGGAAAAGATGTGATTTGTTATCTAACCACATGCACAATATGCTGTAGATATCATTCTGTTTTGCTCCTGACTACTGCTGGCAACAATCTGCTCCGATTACTGCATCTCTATGAAGGTATGGCTTTGCACTCATGAAATCATTTTAGTGGTACATAAAAGAATTCCAACAAAGAGGGATTTGGCTCTAGCACAGCCGGGCCTAAGAATAGAGTAGAATGCACCAGGATCTTCAATAGAACACAACATAATCTTCAAATAAGAATCATATTCTTCTAATCTTATTAACTTTGAGAAAAAAATCTCTTCAGGCATAAACACTTTCTCTTCTATCTGTTACTGTTTAACCTCTATTTATACAAACAGCAGCCACTATGCTGAAAAAAGAAGAGAATTAAAGAGCTTAGGTAAAGACAGAAACACAAAGGTATCACTTCATTACTGTCTTCAGCAATATTGATTACTTTATTGTCTTATATCATAATGGCTGCTGCAGTGCTAGTCTTTGGCTTGCTAGTTTGAAGTGGCTGGACTTGGCTCTGGCTGCTAGCATGTGCCACACAGTGTGCATTTCTGGACTCTCTTTGAGGGCTTACACCTTCACAGCAATCACAGCTTCTTAATTAAACAGAGGTTCAGATTTTCATGTTTCAAGTTCTGTTAGCAGCACAGCATACTAGATCCAGCTGAAAAAATGTTTTACATCACGTTTGTGTCTTGACAGTGGAAGTGATCTGTATTTCAATTACATATTGCTAGGGGTGTACAAATGCATCAGTGTACTGACTTCTGTAATTCATTATAACAATATTTATTATTATTAAATGCAATGTATTTATATTTATATAACATAGTAGAATATATTTATTAAATATACTATTTAAAAAATATTTAACTTTATTAAATATACTGTATGGCTGCTTTTTTGGCCACCCTCAAAGGTGTATTAGCTTATTGTATATATTACAAGTTTGGTGTAGTCACTTTTGTATATATATGAAGTTATTTCTGTACTTCAGTAATTGTACAAGAGACATTTGTCATTTTGCTGTGTACCCAGTCTGAGAGCAGCACAGCATCACCAGCCGAGCAGCACCACTTGGGGCAGCTGGCGTTTAAGTGCCTTGCCCAACAGCACAACCAGATATACCCAGTCAGTCCTGGCTCACCTCTCCCACCACTACACTACATACATTTTTTCTCCTGTCATATTTGTGTATTCAGTCTACTTTTAAAAAAATCATTCAGAATCATACCAAAATACTCAAATCCAATCAGACTGAAGCATGGTAAAATCTGAGATTTCATGATGTAATTAATCATTTCCTAAAGAATTATAATCAATTTTTCTGAGGTCACAGATTTATACTGATGCATATGGCTGTCCAGCTTTAATATGATTCTGAGATGTCTCTGAAACACAACCGCTACTTACAGTGCACAAGGTCTCGAACACCTTATCTGAGACGAAAGAGCCATCCAGGCCGAACAGGAAGATGGAGGCATAAGAGAGCATCCCTCCCAGGATGATCAGGTTATTCATGTAAGGACTCGACATTTTGATCAGCCTGCACAGAGAAGCATATGAGTTAGAGCATGTGTCATATAAACAAGTGTTATTTTATATACAATAATAACTCATACAATGTAGAATATACAGCACTGTGCAAACGTTATAGCCACATGGGAAAATTCTTTTTTAAAACCTATTTAACAGTAAGTATTTATTTGTTTAGACAAACAATAATATTAGAATAATTGCAAATAGCATTCATACATTGAGTAGTGATTTTATGTATGTCAGTGTCACTTCCAAAACTCTGCAGTATCAATTATAGTTATCATCCCAAATCTGGTTTGGCTAATCAATACTTTATTAAATAAAGTCAGGAGTGTTGGTGATGGAATTTAATAATCTGTGCAATAGGTGCATGCATCAAAGAGAAATCTGAAACCAAAGCAGACCTTCTTCTAACTAACCCACAAGATATCAAATACATTTTTTGAAATTCTACTTTTTACTGCATTAATACGTGCACTTATTCTGGTGTTACAAAGTGTTTTACAGGCAACTGCTGAGATAAATAGTTTTAAAAAGTGTGCTTAAATGTGCTTCAAACTTTTGCACAGTACTGTAAATGTATTAAACCTGATACCAAAAGGTATTTTTAGATTCTTTATTCAATACTTAAAGTAATTTGGGTACAGCACAACTTAGCAAATGATAGACAACATATTGCAAATGACTATTAAAGTAATTGTTCAGAAAATTATCTGCCTCAAGATTTCTGCTTTCAAAACAGAAGACATTCTGGATATTTGTTTTATCACATCATTCTTGATACTATACAGCTTTTTATTCATTTTAGAATCATCTGTATTTCTGTTTCTTTTTACAGCTTCCTAACTTCCCACTTATTATTTGGTGCTTGTGAAGTTGGGATCTACAAACAAACTGAGATTATATTATTGAAAACACTGATTAGAAATTTTGAATGATAGTGTAACGCTGTTATCAGTGAAAACTCTTGACCCACCTGTGGTTGCGGTTTTTGATGTTGAAAAAGAGGAAGCCGCCTGCCATGAGCATGCCCAGTATGGTGATGGTGGACAGGATGCTGTATAGAGGCACGTTGATGTGCCGTCGCTGCTGATGCACGATTGTTTGGTCCTTTGGAGGCTCCACACCTGAGACAATATGACACACACATTATGAGAGTAATGACATACCATCAGTGAGTCATCAGGAGTGCCACTTTACTGCAGTCTTACATTTTTTATAATGCCATGCCAAGGCAGAACACATAATGATGAAACATATTCAGCCTTCAGAAAAACGGCCCAGAGTGGCACAAACTGCTGCAGCAGAGATCAGATGGTGAGTCACAGTTACTGTGGAGTTTAAGCAGGGCTTTGTAAAGTATTCCAAAAATGATTTTATTTATTACTTGTGTTATGTGTGAATAAATGTTATAGATGACCAGATTTACTGAGTAGTCAGGGTTATGTAAGTATAAACAGCTTCAAGGTCCTGAGAAACAAGCTGGCTTACTGCAATATAATGGCCTTAAACACCATTCAAACGCAAATTATGCACACTCTGTTTATTTAACAGGACTTTTCAAATGTCTCTTTATTCAGTGTTTGGGGTCAGCAACCGCAGTGTTGTCACTCTTTTTTTCTCCATTGCTTACTTTGTACGCTTTTGTCAGTGTTCCAATCGATTCCTATGGCTTGTCTTACAAAGTTCTATTTGAGGAAGTACCTGACGTAAAACGGTGTGTTTTCCTTGAAACAATTGTGTGTGTGTGTTAATGGGAGGGTATAAAAACTCAGAAAACTCCAGGGTTCAAACAAACGACAAAGAATGTCAAGTCAAATTAGCATTATATAAAAAAAGCTAGTGAATTATTCATTAGGTCATATTTGCAACAGAAAAGGGGAGGAATATGTCCCATCTCCCATGTGCACACACAAACAAATACAAACAAACACATGCAAACACAACATACACATATACAAAAACCCACACCGCTGTTACCTTGGAACCTGATGGTGTTGTTGATAAGGTCCAGCACGTCGGCAATAGCATTGTACTCGCCCACCTTCACCTCCTGGCCCTCTGTAAGAGACAGAAGAAGAGAGGACAGCTCTGATAAGAGCAACAGTCTGATTCGCTCCTTTAGTCTGGGATAAAACAAGACAGCGAATGGTGAAAGTACCCATGTTACTCTACAGTGAAGAGTTAGTCAAATGCTATCTTCTGTGGTCTTTCTGTACTTTACACATCAGGTACATACTGCAATATGGTCTTTGCTATTTAAACAATGGACTATTATGCCTGGCCTACACTACACATTTTAAAAGCCTGCCCAATAACGAAAACGTGAGAGACACCATACTGACAGATTCTACAGATTTTTTTTGTTCTTAGTCATCAAAGCCTTGCCAGGAACAAAACACCACACTCTTTAAGATTATGCTCACGAATCAGCAGCCTGACCAACCTGAGATCTCACAGAATTTCTCATCAACAAACGTGACAATGGTTTTTGTCCTTCCATTCAGCTTGGCTGTCAACTCAACTTGCATTGTTTTTGGTCTTTCACGCGTACATTTCATGAGAATTAACATTCCCCACACATTATGTTGAGTCAGAAATATTGAACATATTTTATATTTATGAATCAAAATCAAGGCTGCCACAACTGGACTTAGAGTAGATCAGACGAGTAAAGACTGTATTATACATACCCCACCACAGCATAATCTGGAAAGATAATCGTTTAAGACCATGCCTTTTGCAATTGTTGCCTTTTGCAGTAATTGGCACGATTATCCTGTCGTGTGGGCCAGGCTTTAGGAAGAGCTGTCCAACTTAAGTGGAAGGCCAGAGTTTGGCACAGTTTGATGATTTCTCTGCTCTAACATACTTTCCTTCCACTCATCCGTCAGTTATTCAGGGTTAGCAGGTGTGTAAATACAGAAAATCACAGAACTGTGCTGGACTTCAGCCCTTCAGGACTGGACTAGACCTAGACATCTAGGTAGAATCTATTTGACATTTTTTTCAGCTTGCCTCTGCAGAACCCTTTTCACTGTGCTGAAACTCTTCTTGCTGTACTGGAATCCTTATTGGTGTTGCAGAACCCTTCTTGGTGTTGTAGAACTGTTCTTGGTGTTGGATACAGTCCTTAGCAAATCCCTCCAAACTAATAATATCGGCTGGAAACTGAAAAGCCTTTAACCTTAGATCGTACTTTTGATTACTGAGATTACAATTACAGACTGGAAACTGAAACTAAATTTAACCTGCATGTGGCTAACCACTCTAATAAGCACCACAACTGGCAGCTGGTAAAGACACTCTGCCATGAAAACATAAGAGGTAACGTTGGTTCTCCCATGAGGAAGAGATGTTAAAAAATAATGAAACAATAAAACAAGAGGCCTATTGCAAATTAGCCCTTTTAACTAGATATACTTGGAGGTTATGCGTCTAAAAATACCATAAAAATGAGTTTCAGTGACAGTAAATCCCAAATCGAACCAGAAGCGCTATGAAATAGCCATATTAGTACTTAGTATTTGTCCCATGTGTGTGCTTTAATCCTGACTATATATTGACTGACGCACACAGAAGGACCATTCTGTGCATCCCAAAGACAGAAAATTCACTTTAGAGATTAAGAATGAGGGATTTAAAAGTCAACCCAGCTCTTATGTTCATGGATCTCCTCGATATACCAATTACAAGTCTTTAATAAAAAAAGCCCAGTAGTTGGCTGCTGAACAGAACATGTGAGACAAGACTGGCTGGGAGAAATTGATCTGATTAGTTCTCGGTGAAACAGAAAAGCAGTGCTCTTAGTCATGTTCTCTAGTGATGACTGCATATGTTAAAGAAACACTTCAGTGTTTTTCAACCTAATCTCTATCAGCCACAGCATATAGCCAATTACCATGGACAGGTTTCCCTGTGCTTAAAAAAGAACAGAAAACCCATTGATTCAAAACTCACTAAAAGAAGCCAATGGGCAGTTGCTGAAACAGTCATTAAATGTTCATGAGAAACAAGAGTTTCATGAATTCTTCAGTCAAAGACATTTGTAAATTTGTAAGATGTAAATCTGTTTAATTTGTTCTGTCACAGACAGGACTGGTTTTGCAGAGAGAATAATCAGGAGTAATTTGTTTTCACAGGATCCTGCTGTATCACACATGGATGTGGGAAAGTTCAAGTGTCCTACACCAAAACTTGGCTAAAAGTTCAGAGGGAAAAAGTGAATGTTAACTAGGCAATAACATAGCATAGTATTTCTCAAAGATGTGCTGAAATGAGAATTATCTCAATTGTGGTAATCTGAGGTGATCATTTTAAAGAAAAAGCTATTTGATTATATCTATATTGCTATATTATACGTGGCCAATGCAAGAGATTCATGATTATATGACAAAACATGAAAGTCAGGAAATGACTGGACTTTACAATGGTAGGCTACTGAAATCTTTCTTAATTGAGAAGAATGTGATATTAACCAACACAAATCTTTTCATATTTATTCTTTGTATGCACATCATTTAGTTTAATACTGTTATGAATAAGTTATGGTAAGTAGTAATAAGTCATTCCTAAATACACACAGTCCTGTTAATGGTAAAGTTATTGACGTTGGAAGAATTACTTAGAAGAGAATATACTTTATATACTAGAAAAGAATTCAATGGCCAGTTTGGGCCATCACAGCTTTTGTAACATACAGGTTTGCTAGTATCAACAACAATGAATTTCAGAGTGTCTAGGTTGTCAATCTGTAAATATTTAGAGGTGCACAGTATCAGTATTTTGATATTTAATCATAACAACTGAAAGCATTCTGTTTTTCCAATACTTTGGTTTAATATGTAAGAAACAATGCCACCTGGAAGCACATCCTTTGTTGTTGCGATGGTAAAGCTATTTGTACCATAGAGTGAAGTTTTTCACAGAACTCAGCATGTGCCCAATGGCTTCTATTATAAGTAAATCTCGAGTCACTGTGTTTAGTTCATTTCTGAGTACAGGGAACCACATCAAAATTATCATCTATTTTTAAATAACATTATTAGACAGATGCAGAAGATAGAGATTAGGTGGAGTATTCATTCGAGGAAGCTCAATATGGGCCAAAACTGAATCTTTGAAAACTGCAGAAGTGTATCCTTTTTCATCTATTTTCTCTTTTCCTCCCTGCTGTTCCCCTTTTCCACTCAGCTCCAGACAAGCAGAGGTGGCCCAGGCTGTCCAGCTGTCTGTGCTGGTTATGGACCACTGAACAGTCAGTCATGCAGGCCAGCCCTCTCTCAACTGTGCCGCCAATACACCATTAAAGGCCACAAGTGCACTACTAACTGCAAGCTCTTGGAGCCTGGCAACCTCAACCTCTCTGTCTCTCTCACATACACACACTCACACACAGCAGCCATTAGCAGGCACTGTGCCAAGTGTCTGCTTTAAACCCTACCGCACCCTTAACCTTGCTTTTAGAATGGCTTTTCAGGCAGGGTGTTTACACAGCAAGAGCGATTCAGTGGCAAAACATGGCCTAATGGGTTCATGCATGCATGTAGCACTTAATGGCTTCTCCAGGACACTCTGCTCTTATCAGGTGAGGAAAGCTAATGCCTGCAGTCATTGAGCATCAGCTTCGAGACATCATATTATCATGTCATTTATTATATAAAGATGGATGTACTAAGCATGTGTCAAATATGTTTGTGTCATAGTTCATAATAGCAGGCATGATGTTTCAAAATGATTACTTAATACATCAGAACCTTTCTGTATGTACAGTACAAAAAAGGTAATATTAAGTAAAATATTAATTAATATTGAGGTATTAATGATCAGAGATTTTAGGTTTTGAAAACAAAATTCTAATATTGCAGAGATACTTACGGTAACTGGAAGATGATTCAGGAATGTGGTTTGCACAGTGTTACTTGTATATAGTATAAGCTCCAGTACATGTTAGCTACATTAGTAGAACCAGTTAAACCTAAAGAAGCATATATCAGACGTTAAACTGTTTTAAAACATTGTGGCTGACTCTTTACATTTTGGGTGAAAGGAGAATTTGGAGAACTTTAAGCTTTGTGAATCTAGAACGAGTCATCACCAGCTTTGCTTCAGGTCAGTTCCGCATTGCTAACGAGGGGACAGTGATTCAAGAGGTCACCATTACAATATCTAGTGTATGAACTATCCTGTCCCTCTGCCAGAACACGCAGCTCTTATCAGGTACGGAAAACTGCAACTGTGAGGTATGAGGGAGGGACTGAGAGAGGGACTGAGAGTGTTAGACCTGCCAGAGGAGACGGATGGGGGAGAACTCAGTACATTTTTAAATATGCAGCCAGAGCAATCTCTGCCCATCCATTAACCCACAGTGAGCAAGAGGTGGAGGAAGAGAGTCAACGAAAGAAAGAAAGAAAGGGAGAAGAGGAGAAAAAGAAATAAATAAAGAAAGAAAGAATTGGAATGAAAGAACAAAAGCTAGACAGCAAAAGAAAAATGAATTAATGAACGAAGGAAAGAAAGAGTTTGAGTTAGTTATGCTGCAAAGAACTTCAGTCTGTAAAATAAAGAATGGTCCGGTGTGCAGTGTGTGTTTGTGTGTGTATTCTGAGAAAGAGAAAGACAGAGAGATAGAGAGAGAGAGAGAAATGGGGTGAGAGACAGATAGAGAACAGTGCCTTGGGCCAGTGTGCCTCTCTTGTGATTGTTGTGGTGAAGCAGTAGCAAGTCCTCCACTGCACTGTTGATAACATTTTTTTTCACCACTTATCCCCCGACTGCCAGTTGCCTTCGAATAGACAGTCAGTTCAATCACGCCACAGTTTAACAGGACTCCCTGTCCAGGGGCTTCACTCACGCACACACACACACACACACTCACGGCTACACAGTGACGTAGCGGGCTGCGGGGGACACCTCTGCACAGAGGTAGATAAGAGCGAGGAGAGTGGGCAGTGCTGGCTTGTTGTGGTTGCTGTGGGGTGTGGGGGTGTGTGTGAGGGGGGGGAATCCCCCGCTCAGAGATTAAATCCTACACCAAGATTTAATCTCATCTCACCGAACCCCACTCGGCCTTCCAGAAGCACAGTGGATTAATAACAGCACAGGCCTGAGCACCGCCACGCCTGACCCCATTAAACTAAACACAGGAGCAAGGCTGTGATGTATAGCACGTACACGGCCCAAACACAACACCATGCCACGAGTGCACATATAACTGCATTAATATATGAACGCACGGTCATGGTTTATAGTTTTACAGATAGTAACTGAATGAGACAGCATGATCACAACAGCCAAGGGCTGGATTTAAACAAGATCTCCAAATATCATGACTACATAACATCATTTATTATGATGTAGAGGTAGCACATTATTTCTGACTGCTTAACCCTTTACACACAGCACTTTGTAATAAATTATAAACATCTATCAGCTGGTTAATTTTCCTGTGTAAGGCAGTAATGCACCAATCACACGTTTCATTTTAGTAAATGTTGTGTAAATGTTAAGTGTAAATATTTCCATTTCCTTATGTATTTAATAAACAATGAAGGAACTTCAAGCAATCAAGAAACATAACTTCTACAGACTGCACATTTATTTATGCATTTATTCATTTATCTATTTTTTTTTTTATTCACAATATTGTGTTATACGTATCCTTACACATATCCACTCTTTACTTCTAACCACCGTCTAGCGTCTATCCCTGTGTCAATCTTAATCCAAGTTCAATCAATCAATCAATCAATCAATGTTTGTTTAAACTCAGACTACTCTGAGGGAGACCCTCATTTACAATGTAGCTGAGCCAATACAGAAATCAGGGATGGAAAAAATGTAATTAAATACATATCAATAATAATAAAAATCTAGTAATAATAAACATATCATAAAATCTAATAAGAATAAACTACTAAAAATGTATAATAATAAATAACAGATCAACTAAGGATATAAAAAGGATATAAAATAATAAATTATTGAAACAAAGGAATAGAAGGTGTAAAACAATAATTTGCAGCTTAGAAGTAAAAGTTGATCTAAAATAAATAAATGAATACATAAATAAATAAATAAACAGAATAATAAAAGTGACACAAAGACATACCAAAATCATATTAAAAGTTAACTACAATCAAACAAAACAATTGCAGGCTGAGTGGAGGTGACCAGAGACTAAAAGTTTAAAATGTTCATGTGACACCAGCGAGCAAAGTTTTAGAGTTTCCTGTAATGAACTCCTCCCTGCTGATGGACTGTAGCTAAAAGCAGTTTTTCCCAGTTCAGTAGAAGCTCTCGGCACCTGAAGGGTAATCTAAGATACAGAAAGCCAAGTTTTTACCTTAGTTTAATGTAAGCTTGTTAACTTGGTATTTAAAAGTGCATTTGTCAAAAGGTCCAAATGATCCTCTCCTGTACTTTTTTTTTACTGTTGATGGGGTTAAGGGCTTTAGCTACTATGCGAGGAGAAAAAGGGTGAATTGTAAAGAGACCATGTCTTACAGCAGGGCGTTTATCTATTTCATTGAGAGGCACTTGCGTTTTAGTATTATCAAATAAATGTCCAGAAGCTGTAAAGTGAGTATTAAGTGTTTGGCAGAGCTCTCTCTGATCAGAAATCAGCTGATCATTACTTAAAATATGGGTTGGACCTGCAACTGATTTGTTATTGAGCAAATTAACTGTCTTCCAGAATTTGAAGGAGTTTGAAGCTGAATTTATAAATATCTGAAGGTAATAATCTGCTTTAGCTTTTTAATGTAGGAAGTACATTTAATCCTTAGCTGCCTGAAAGTAAGCCTTTGGTCTCTGTCACCATTTCTTCTTGGAAGGGCCCATGCTTCATTTCTTGCATTGAGCAGGGAAGATATTTCAGAGTTGAACCAGAGATTTGATCTATCTCGGATTCTAATGTTTTTATAATGGGTATGCTTTTTTACCACCACCAGGAAATGCTAAATCAATATCTGGGATTTCAGAAGTGTAGTGGATGTGACTGAATGCCAGCTTATTATAGAAGGCTTGGTCATTAATATGTTTAAACTTTCTTCTAACCACCATCCAAGAGCCTGACCTTATTATGATTGTGTTTCTACTGTACCTGATAGAGCAGTGGTTACTAAGACCAGGGTCAAATACATCTACAGAGGTAATTCTGTCAGATCTTTTGGATAAAATGAAATCTATTAGTGCTGACTTACTGGGTTCATGTAGGTTTGATTGTGTTGGTTCTGTAATTAGTTTTGTTAGAGATAAATTTCCACACACTTCCTTCAAGTGATTGGATGCATTAGTTAACCAATTTAGATTTAAATCACCTAGGATCAGCATTTCTGAGTTGATGTATGGATTTAAAAGTTCAGCTAAATCACCTATAGTATGAGAGGCTGCGGAAAGAGGTCTATAGGTCCCAGCTACCACAAACCTGTTATTGCGTCTTTTGTCGCAGTTTCTGAGTATGTCAAACAGCTATGTAAAGTCTTTATTCAAGAGTTCAGTTTTTTCGTCTTTGATATTGTTACAGCCTATGTGAAAAATCACATTGCGAACGTTTCAGTGCTTAGCAGTTTCAGTGTTTCCCACATGTCTGAAACAAACTTGGGGCAAGTACCATGGGCGGATCATCAAGTTATCAGCCCGGTCACAAATATTTAAGATATCAATAAGATTTCACACCAGGGTACATGAGGTCTTTGCAGCACCACGATGGCAGCATACTAACTGCAGTGTGCAACACATTTATCCCAATGACAATGACATACATTAAAATCAGACAACTCAACTGAGATACATAATAAAGATGTATTAAAAACGTAAAAAACAATAAAACATATTAAAACCCTAACAGTCAAGCATCCTAGCTAATGCATACTGCCATTAAACCTTACTCTTTAAATAAAGGGTTTTTGTCCTATTTATATCTTACCTTTTATGAAGATTGAATAGAGAGGAAAACAGAAAATAGAGATTGGAGAAGAAAATTAATTGGACATTTAGGAAAGTTGTGGAGAGCGTCAGGAATATGATTGGCCATAACACAACGTCAAATTATTTATTTTTTCCATGTTGCCACTAGTAAAGTTGCTATCACAAGTCAAAATAGATGTTGAGATATTCTCATAATTGCTCGTGGGGGGCCCCAGTGGCTCAGGCCACTAGGATGGATGATCCGGGCCTGACTGTGGAGGGTGGTTTGAATATTTGAATATATATTTTCATAACTTTTGTTTTTTGAATCGGGTATTTGGATAAGACATTATACATAAATATGATAACATGGGAAGTACCACAGAGGTGCCAGCAGAAATTAGCATTATCATAACAGTGGAAACTAGATTCAAAAAAGGCTTCTTTTACAGTGAAGATTTGGGCCGACGAGATGGGCACAGGGAAAAACAGTGATGATTCGTATTAATGACACCAAGTGTTATGTGCATTTATAACAGTATGAATATTTTCTTGTCGGAATTTGTTAAAATGGGAAGAAACGGAAACTGGATATTGTTAAAATGGGGCGATCATCAACACACTTAAGTATAACACACAAGTATAGCCAACGTATGGAAAACACTAAGACTGCACAGTATACTGGAATAAACTCCTTGAACACTTACCCTGAAACTGTGTGAATTTAATGGTTCCCATGCGCTCTCCATTCCTGAACATCACCTGACCCTGAAACAACACAAACATAACTTCAGATTAATTGCACATAAGGCCTACACAGGCTGCATGCACGAACAAAAGTCTCAGTGCTTAGTAATTCATATGGTTCTGGCTAGACACATTTAGTCTTACTGAGAGAGATGCTTTGGTTTGCTACAGCATCCTTGACTCTTGGCACAGTGACAAACTGCACTGTGTACCTACAAGCCTACCATGGTCCATGCTCTTGGACCCATTTATTAAATTAGCGGTCAGTAAATTGATCTCTTTATCGAAGCAAGCATAATTAATAGTAGCAAAATTGATTGGCTAAATATTAAGAGAGCATATGGAGGTCCCTAAGGAGTTCATACCATACCAGTGCAAGTGATCCATTCCCTAGAGGCCAAAAAAAGCAAAATACAGTATGCAGCCAAAGTCATTCTGAATTGCGTGGTGACAAAGGCTAAAATGGATAACAGGCCTTGGCCACCGCTGGGCACAGAATGCATTAGCTCCGCCATAGTGTGCATCAAAATACAATACAAAGCTCATCAAACATAATGAATTAATGGATGTTTGACAGGTCACTGTGGACGACTGATCGAATAAATGAAAAACAGGTACAGTAACTAGCGAGCATCATCCATAAAACCCCATCATTTTGTCAAAACATTGTCTCATGCGCTCATTATCTAAGTGTTGAGCAAAGGCCGTGTGCTATCTGTCTGCCCACTGAGCTGGCTAATGAGCCGTTTAGCAGGATTGGGGATCACTCGCTCCGGCAAAATAACAGGTGAGAGGCATACAGCATTACCATGGCAATGATTAGAAGCCCATTAGTATCCTGGGAGGGGACTGAGAGCCCATCTCATCTCTAAAGGCGTCCTGCTTTGAAGTGCAGAGCAGAATGGAGCCCTTTATCATGCTCTTCTTTGTTTTTGATGCTCTGATGTGGGCGCTCTGGATAAACGCTCGCTGTGGTTAAATGCATTACGGTGTAATTCACAGATATCTGTGTAAATGCTATGTAGTATAAATCACATTATTCTCCATAAAACCAAGCTTCTGGTATTTTAATGTGTTAACCCCTTCAACCTTAGGCTTATTACTCAGTTGTTAATCATAAGACTTCATTCAGTAAGTACTATGAACCTAATATAAAAGCTATGTAACTTTGAGAGAGCGGCACGGAGGCGCAGTAGGTAGCGCTGTCGCCTCACAGCAAGAAGGGCCTGGGTTCGATTCCCGGCCAGGCAACCAGGGTCATTTCTGCATGGAGTTTGCATGTTCTCCCCGTGTCTGCGTGGGTTTCCTCTGGGTACTCCGGTTTCCTCCCACAGTCCAAAGACATGCAGTCAGGCCAACTGGACATGCTAAATTGCCCCTAGGTGTGAGTGTGTGTATGTGTATGCCTGTCTGTCTGCCCTGCGATAGACTGGCGACCTGTCCAGGGTGTATCCTGCCTTCCGCCCGATGACAGCTGGGATAGGCTCCAGCACCCCACCGCAACCCAGAAGGATGAGTGGTTTAGATGATGTGTGTGTGTGTAACTTTGAGAGTGAGGAACCCACACACAGGTCCTTAAGGATTATGTAGAAATCATGTACTAATTAGTAAGATAACTTTTCACAAACTAACCCTTAGAAGTTTTCGTTATAATAATAATAAAACCATGGTGTAATTTGATATTAACCTGAGCAACCTGAAATAGCTTGTCAAAAGTGAGGATTTTAAACTTTCATATATATGTTTATATGTAGAAGAGAAATTTTTTATTTTATTTGAATTGGATGAAAAGTTCTGTGTATAGTCGATTTACAGAAAGAACCAGAAACTTATTGATACAGAACATAAATCAAATGTAAATGTTGTTTGTTACATAACTAACTGTATATAGAACTGTGCAAAAGTCCACACAAGACACCACACATTCATTTTTCATTGAGAAAAAAACTGAAATTTACAAAGGTGCATCAACATCTAAATACATTACACCATTTTTCATTATTTAGTGTGTCCACCCTTTGCCTTTATTACAGGTTCCTATCTGTTCGGGAGACTTGCTTTAAATTTTTCACACAAATCTGCAGGAAGACTCCAAAGTCCAGTCTTACAAGTTGGTTACATTTTCATCTTTTCACAATCCATGTATCTCAATTATAAATTTAGACTCATCAGTCCATAAAACCTTACTCCACATTTCAGATGTCCAGTTTCAGTGTTCTGGGGGAAATGTTTTTTTTCTTTTTTGTTTTTTCTTTTCTAGTTCTTTTTTTAGTAACAGCTGAGAGTTACACATCCTTTCAGACTCATAGTGTTGAGTTCACTTCTCACAGTGGAAGGACAGACAGAAACAACTGTGGATTTTTTCAGATGTGAAGCAAAAGTGGAGCTTGATTTTCTCCTATCTGCTTTTAAGTACTGTTTACCTGTTTACCTAACAGTTTTGGTGGTGTTCCAGGTCTTACATGGAGGAGTCCCATTTTCTCTTCCTTTAAAAATTTTTTTGAACTACAGTTTTGGAAATTAACATTTTTTCACTTATTTTCCTTTGACCTTTCTCCTCCTTATGCAAGTGGATTATCTTATATTTCATCTCCTCAGAAATATCTGCTCAAAAATAAATAACTTGTACTTTCTGGCTGTTTTAACTGGAAATAAAAAAAAAATGAATGGTGGTCTCTGACTTTTGCACAGTATTGTATGCAATTATGCAATATTATATATAGATTACTGAGTAATTAGACTTACATAGTATAGCAATATACTTCATACAGTGTTAACTCTCTGGATTCTGAGAACCTGAGGTCATGTTGGTGTCTGAATGACTAGGTGTGTTGCATATTTCTTCTAAAACTCTCACTGCCACATTGTTGTGTACCATCACATATGAGCACCACTGAAAGCCCGGGCCTCTGACACAGCCTCTGGAGTGATTACTGTGCATGTTTGTGCCTGTGTGAGTGCATATATTTGTCTTCTTTCTGTGCCAAATCTCAGTGTGTGCTCTGACGCAGACTGCCTTCAGTCATAAAGCCCAAAACTTGTTTCTCCAACTTCTATACACCCTCTTTATCCTTGTTGTACAGCTGCTGTATAATCACATAATCCCTCCCATAATAAAGTGATCTCATTATTTCATTTACATTTGCCTACTAAATATCAGAGGTGAGTGGTGATTTACTCAATTACACTTAATTAGGTCAACTTTGTACTTTTCTGAGTATGTTCACGTGGTAATACTTTTACTTCTATTTAGGTATATTTGTGAGGAAAGGACTCTAATATTTAACCAGCTAGGCACTAATTCAGTCATTTCATTCTGTTACACTGGTTCAAGATCTGTTCTGCATTGCGATTGGTCACACCTCTGACTCTGGGGGTTTATCATTTTAGTGTAGACCAAGAGTGCATCAAAAAGAGAAGAATAGAGCAAACTTTGCTGGATGTACTTAGAAGTTCTGTTGCTCAAGTTAATCAGTACTTAAGTAGTTTTCTGCTACTTTCAGTAGTTTTTTGTCAAGGTACTTTTATTTAAGTCATTACATTACCACAGTAATAATGTCTTTATTTGAATACATGTTTAGGCCACTGTATGCACTTCTAGCAAATGTATGTGCCTTCAGCTATCAGCAGGTGCAGGTCATTGCTGATTGTAAAACAGAAATATGGACCTTCACTCCAGCTGGCTGCAAACGGACTGTACTGTCTGCTGGCCTACAGGCATCAACTCTGAGAGCCTGGCGGGTCTGATGATGAGCATGTGTATGTGGGGTGCAGGGTAATGGTAGGGGGTATGTAAACCCTGGGCAGGTGTGAAAGTCTAATTGAGGCTCTATTCCCACTCTCTCTCACTTGCTCTCAGGTGTGCAGCTGAGCAGTGCCGAAAAGGAGGTGCTGAAAAGCTTCGTGCTCACTGATGAGTGTGGCCATTCTACACTCACCTCACTTAGCGCAAAATGGGCCTTGATGTAGTCTCAATATGCACACGCCACGCACTTGAAATTTAACATTATGTTTACTACGCTTTAGCTAATCATACAAACTGCACACAGTACCTCCCAGTAACTATGCTATGCTTGTGAGCTGAAGAGTTTAAAAGACAACAAGCTCACAGAAAATGGAATTAGTGTAATAAATGAAGTTCTTCCCCAACAAAACCTTTTACAAGGGTGTAATTTTGCTCCAGCTAAAAAAACAGAACACAGAGTTGACTGGCCCTGACAACTTTAGCAAACTGATTGGCATATGTAATCAGCACCACTTTCAATATATTCACCCAATTTTGGAGTGATCCTCCAATGTTTTGTGCAATCCTCTTTCAAATGCTTATGTATGAGGAAGGGAAATGTATTTTGTGCATAAACTGCACACAAACAGGCTCATATGCCAGTTTCATAGTAAACAAGCATTTTTTGGTCAGAATCCATCCTATTAGCACTGAAACCTAGCACAAAAAGCTTAGTACATCTGGTGCCAGCAGCTTACAGTCCCAGAATATTATACAAGCCTACACAGTAGAATTGATACTCATAGCTAACAAATGACTTTATGTACAGTAATACATACAACCAATTCATATAGCCATCCTTTAGCCCTGTCTGACCACAAAACCACTTTTCACTAGATATTTCTGGGTTTTGGAAAACTATCATTCCACTAACATGTCACATGTCAAAGTTGTGTTGAGAATGGACCACCACATAAGCTACACATGATCAACAGCAAACTTGTGGAAAATGAACTGTGATGAATAAGATAGAGGGATGTAGTGAAGGATAAATGCAAAGTTGTCGTATCTTGTTCCCACTGAACAAATACTTCCTCCTCCTTTACCACCATTCACGGAACATGACAACATCACTTTTAAAACGGGCATAAACTATACATTTCACAAACTCCCCGAAAAAGAACCATGCCAAAGCTGTTAATGAGTAGCCTTCTATACTGGCCATCTGAGCTTGTCTGTACGTTTTCCTATTGTTGCGAGCATCATGCCTCTAAAAGCACGCACAAAATACCATCACATCAGTTTTCATCCGCAAAAACACAAACATTTCACTCCGCTGGCAGCACTAGTATTGGCAAAAGTGGTGTCATTTAAAATTAAACGTGTGCTGAGAATCAAAATTGTCAGAATGTGTAACATGATACAGTTCTAATAGAACAGAAACACTTTCTCCCAAATCCCAGCTTCAGTCAGAGCCTCTTCAAATCACATTTTGCGAATGTCTAAGTAAAGCAAGGTGTCACTGTATTTGATATTTGGAACTGTAGTACTATTAGTTTTTTGGAAAATAAATGAATGAGATTGAGGCTCTACTTCAGAGCAGCAAAAGCTAGTTGGCTCTCCTCCAGTCAAAAGCTCAGCAGTGGTGCACCCCTCCACCTCTCATTCAGAGTGATCCGGCCTCCCCAGAGGCTTCGCTAAACTAATGTTTTAGTTCCTGAAGCGTGCTGCCACTCGATCAATAGACCTGCTTGGTGGTTTCAGAGTCTGACAGAGAGATAGAGAGAGAAACAGAGAGAGAGAGAAACAGAGAGAGAGGGAGAGAGAGAGAGAGAGGAAGAGAGAGAGAGACAAAGAGGCAGCACGTAAACCAGCAGAGCTACACAGAAGCATATGCAGGGTGTGAGGAGGGAATGCGTTATCAGCGGCAGTGAGGAATCTTAAATATTGCTTAGAAAAATGACCTTTGTGGAAACTACTATAAACAAGATTGGAAGGAACTAAGACAGTAATAGTGGGGATGGGCATAGCTAGCATCCAATGCTAATTCTGTAAATCGATCAGCACGATCATACACTGTGCACTGTGTAAATGCTAACACCAAACAACCATTCTGGCGTAAATACCCCACACAGTCTTTTTCTCGAAACTCTTGTTTTGCCTTTTTGCTGATGTTGCTGCTCCTTTCCTTCCCTGAGAGCTGTTTGTTTTGATGCTGTGATTTCCCCTCCATTAGGCCTGCAGTGGCGTGGAGGGAGGGCGGCTGTGATCATGTGGGGCCTGTGGCGAGTGATGCTGGCAGGCTGAGCGTCTAAGATCCACACCACAAGGGAGCCAGAGAGAGGGCTGATGAGATATAACCTCTGGCTAAGAGCTAAAGAGGGTCAGCAATAGGACAATTTGTACCCATATCCCTACCAGAGATGATCCATCTTCTCTTCTATCCAAATCAGTAATCTCAATTTACGCTATATTAGCTCTTGTGCATTACTCATTGCTCTTGCTACAGCTTTTACATCTGCTGTCTTGAGCTTTGAAAGCTTTTTTTCCCCCTCTTTTTCTTAAGCCGTCTCCAGCAGCATCCCATTCTTCCAGTCACACACACATACAAGGCATGTCTGCAGGCAGGATGCTTCCCGCATACCAAATGCGTCCAGTGCTCTTTTGCTCTCTTCTCCGCTCTCATCCCCTTACCGGTCGCCTCTCTCTGTTTATTCTATTAGATTGTGTGTTTGTGCTCCTGGCCTGCCATTCCAGGTACTGATCTCATCCCCCCCTTCCCCGTCCTCAGCCCTGTCTACACTGCTAATATCTCAGCCATGCATGTTGACACTGCCTCGGCTCTCACTCGCCAATCTCAGAATGGCCTTTATAATATTTGCGCCTGAGGAAATGTCGCTTGACATCTCGGAGCAAAAAGGCATGCACAGATCTCGCTAGCTGCTAAAAAAAAAAAGTGAGTGCTTTTTAGTGCAAGTAGCTTGCAGGGATGCCAAGAATTTGAAGCCAGGACTCTTTAGACAGCTGCGTAACCCCTGGGGTAAAAACACATCTTCAAAGGATGGGTGCAATGTATAGAATATGAGCCCTTTCTCTGCAGAAGACATTGTTTTCCCTAGCACATTTCCCTGATTTCATTAATTTAGATGAGGCATCCTAAGGAGCATCACAGTTCATTAAGGACCCAGCTGACAACCTACATCTTACACAAGGCACACAGAAAAACAAGGTCTTACCGTCACTCCAAAGAAGTTGGTTTCATTCATCACGTCCAGGACCATCTTGCCCACCTCTCGGTCGTCCACAGTCATGTTGTGGTACATATCATGCCGTTGCTTCTGCTTCTGCAGAAGTTCCATAACACGCTTCAGCGTCTTAGCGATCACCCAGATGCCGTCGTAGGCGAAGCCATGGAATTTGCTGGCCTCTACACCTTTCTGCTCCCGCTCCCTGGTGTACTCCAGCTCATACTCTTGAGGTGTCTGAACACAGAAAGAAGCAATAAAGTGACCTTAGATGCAGCTGATCTTGCAAATTAGCTTTGGTTGATGGAGATATAGTAAAGTACTCTGATTTACTTTTAAAAACACGTCATTTCAGAGAAAAGGTGAGTGTCACTGACTTTAAATTGGTAACATTTAACTATTAAGGCACTGTTCCACGAGAAAGCGTTCACTGGAGGTTGTGTGATGGTCACATGTAGCAACACTGGAGGAGCTTCAGCTTCAATTTACCTTTTACTCTGTATTTGGTGGTCTCTGAATCATGTAACAATACAACAATTTTATGACGACTGCGTTTGAAAAATCAATGATCTGAGCTATTTCTAGCTTCACCAATCCATTCCAGCTTGGCATGCTTAGACCCCCAGCAACAAGGATAACCTGGTTCAGCACTCAGGTACAGTGTGGTTCACGTGGCAGGGGAAATGACAACAAAATGTGAGTATGGATTAGGAATCCATGGAAAAATGCCATTAGAGATTTGGACAACCATAAATGATAGGAAATAGCTTGATGACACTTCACTGTGTCTTGTAGCTGAAGATAAGGCAACACACAGTGTTTTGCATTTGAAAAGGTGTTGACTGAATGCCCCCCATACACAGACATGATTCCATTTTTTTCCTGGTCACATGGCATCTATATAATAGTCTGAAACTGAAGTAAATTCAGGTCTTAAGTCACATACTGTCACTGTCCAAAAAAAACGAGTATCTCCAAAAGGGTAACTTTTTAGGTAAAGTTGAAAACAGTCTTTACTTCAATGTACGTTAATGTGAGATTTTACTTCAAGCAATTTTGGTGCACTTCTATCAGTCCATTCATCATGAACTCAGGCAAAGGGCAGCTGCTGTGCTCAAATGATATAAAAAATAAAAATAGATTTTTTGTTGGACAATGACGATACAAAGTTGTTTTTTTCAACTTTGCAACAATCTTACTTTGCTGAATTGAAATTAGGGCACTGAGAAGCTATGAAATTATAATGTTTATAATATTATACTTAATGTGCAAACCCCACGTGCAAACCCCACCTGCACTACAGCTGATCCCTAAAATCAGAAAACCGCCTATCTGAGGCATATACATCTTATTACTAAAACACTGCAGACTAGATTACTTATTACTTTGTTGCAATTCCACCCTACTTTCTGCTGTTGTTATGACAACTCACTGTTTTTGAGCTATGCAATACTTGTAGCTGTCACAAAATGTATTACAGCACTGAAACTTTCAAAGGTAGTTTTTGATGAAATGATGTAGAATACCATACACACACACACACACACACACACACACACACACACACACACAAACATAAACACACTTACCCGTCCAGAGATTCCTTTGGTGCGCTTGGCACTGAGAGGCTCAAAGTCCACACTTATGTACCCCTCCATGGCTGTCAGCAGCTTCTTGGTGGTGCAGTTGGTGGAGTTAGCCTGCTCCCACCAATTGCCTTGGTACCATCCTGGGATGATCCACTGGTACTTACTGCCATACATGTTCAGGTTATAGGCCTAGAGGGCACAGAGGTGCAGACGGGATTTGTAGCAGGGATTCAATGAACAGAACTACATAACCAGATGTATTGACTCTCTAATCTTCCTAATACTAACACAGGTGCTTGCTAAAGCTGCATGTGTTTTTGATACAGGCTAAAGGTCCAGTACATGTTATTGAGGTCTGTCGATAATACTAATAAAACACAGTCTCTCTCCAGAGGCTCTAAAGCTATAGCTACTGCACACTGTCTTAACAATATGAAGCTTCAGAAGAAAATACTCACACAGCAGAAGACTTTAGAGGCCAGGTTTTCGTCAAACTGGCCAATGATGATCCTCACATCATTATCCTAGGAACAGTCAAAAAAAGAGAGGTTTCAGCTTTGTGTGCTTTGCAACGATGGCAATAAAACATTGCAAATGTGCCTGCAAAAGCTGGACAATCCACTGCTGACCAGAGTCAATGAGCATTTATTTATGTCAAATATACTGCACACCCATTCCCAAAGAGAATAGGTACAGCACAGCACAATCTAGCCTCTGTCAGAGCTGGAAAGTGTGCAGTTTCTAAAACTTGAAGGAGGATGTTTAGCTTGGCTGGGCAGGGCTGTATTATGCTGAGGAACTCCATCCGTTACAGGGCAGACATTAATGTCAGTACTGAGAATTGTTTGATATCCAAAAGGGCCAGAGGAGAGCTCTCCATCAGCACCCCGACCACACGCTGCATGATTGAGTCGGTAAATAATTCAGCCCACTCTCCAGCATTGTGTTTCCACCTCGTCTGGTTCCGCATCACAGAAGATCAATCTATCAGCAGCAGCTCGGGAACACTCCAGTGCTGCAGACACCCTTCAGACGCTCCTCCACACATTCATCCACCAGCAGACAGAACAGAGGTATAATCTACAGTACTTTCATGTTCAGGATGTCTGGTGCCACAGATGGTGTGCTGGCCCATTAAAAACTGCATAGACGTGGCACGGTGCTATTTACAAGTAAACAAATATGGCTTTTTTTCTTAGATCTGTACTGTTTGTATCATTTTAAGTACAGATGGAAAGATTGACTCTATCTGATTCATATATTTATGTAGCTATTTATCTTGACAACATATATTAACTCCTTAAATTAATCTTTATAATACAGTAATTAATTTTAAGACTACTATAAATGATTTAATAAATGATTTGATAATTGCTATTTAAACTAATATGCAAGTTTTGTAGTTATGACTAAGGAATTGAAGTGTGGACCCATATACAGGACCTAAGGGTATAAGGGGTTAACACACTGTAAATTACTAATATGCATAACAAATAGTGATACACCAAAGTTAACATTCTTACCTAAACCCAAATCCAAAAGAGGCTGACAATAAATAAAAACAGTCTACATACAATAAACTACAGTACTTGGCACGAACAGAATACAAACTGCTCGTCTACTGTCCCTCATAGAAAGTCTAAAATAGTTTTTCACTGTTGATCTGCTGCTGCTCAAACTATTTTAATGTGTCTGTGCTGACCAGCAAGAGACTAAAGAAAGCAAAGGCCATTTTAATCACTGTTCCTCACTTCAATTAACATTCAAATTAAACATTAAAACAAACTACAAACTACTACTCAATTTTAACTTTTTTGGCTAAAACCTTTAAGCCACTGAAATTTCAGTGCAACCCTATTATTAATAACATCAATAATATTCTAAACCACAAGGCAGATGATACAGGCAACACACTACTTTGTAATGGCAATACACTCTAATATTGTTGCTGTTGGGAGAGCAAAACCTTGTATCCCCAAAAAAGTTGCTCTACAAGAGAAAAAACTTCCTTGCTTTCAATATAGGTTAATGTCACAAGATTTTATTTCAAGTAATTTCAAGATTTTTTTTAAGTCATTTAGTGCCATTTCTATTGGTTTGTTTTCATGAATTTTTGAGACAACGTAAATGTCAGCTGGTACTTTCAAAAATGTCAAAAATGGATACACAAGGTTTTGTTTTGTTTGATGTACTTTACGTAGTCTTTATGTAGTCATATAACTCAATAGCCATCTGTGGCTATCCATATCATCTATCCATACTGGGCATGTAGATTCCATAATCACAATCATATATCACTATAATCACAATCCCAATTGTTTGGGATTACCTACCGATGGCAATAATTTTGTTGATGTAATACACTTATTACATATTAATATACTTACTCATGCAGCAATAATAGATACATCTAAATCACATCATTCAGTGTGTAACGGCACATTCAACAGACATACAATGTAACACTTGGTAACAATTTAGTATTACGTGTCTGTCTTGAGTGATGTTCTGCAGAATATTTGTTACATCAGCTGTTTAACCACTTGCAGTTGTTTGTCACTTTAAATAAAGAATTAAAAAAATAACTTGATAAGTTGTATTAGCACCATCCAATGATTGTATTAGCGTGAAAGTCATTATATTTGTGTAGAAATAAATAACGAGCCCAAAGGTGAGCACTAGTAAACACTTTAGACCAGCTTTCATCTGAACAGCTAGAACTATAAGGCCAGTGGCAAAGTTATCATAAATGTGCACTAAGGAGACGCTTCATTTAGCCTCCGTATAAAGTATGCAATGCAGCTCTTTTCCTGCCAGCACACACAAGCAGCACAATACAGTAAATTCAGCATTGAACCGTGCATGGTGTGTGGCCTAACAGTCTTCCTCAGCTTCCCCCCAGCACCTCGGAGAGTGCCTTCAAAAGGGCCTCGCTCACCACAATACCTCCAAAGCGCCAAGCTGGAGCCAGAGAGCATGCTGGGAGATTGGAGCTTTTGTTCTGAACACTCCTGCCTCCCTTTTCAGGGCCTTCTGCTCGCCTCCCAAACCCTAGTCACTGGAAACCCTGTGCCGGCCCCTCTGGTGCAGGCACTTAACCTGTATTCCTCCAGCTGTGCAAATGCTTCCAACTATCCCGGAGTTCTGGCTGCGACTCACTCCGTCCAATCCAGTCTAATAAAGGTTGTATCCATGCTGGTTCACTGAACTGTTTATACTCTTTTATCTATTTCACTTTCATTGACTCCATTGTTGTGAGATTTTCCCACATTAATGTGGCTTATAGTGGCATACAAGGAGCCAAGTCACAACATTTTGATTTACTGGTGGAGCTCTTGCTATAAAAGAGATGTCAATTGAGACGTTAAGGATGATCAGAGCTTTTTGTTTAAAACACCCCTTTCTTTTCCCCAAATTACTTTTAACTATTTACTTTTTATTTTTTTCCTGAGGTCCACTTATGAAGTTTGTATGATTGTATGCTCTAAAAAATGTAACTGTGTCTTAAAGGGGAAGTTGGGCATAAAACTAAAGATTTTTTATGTTATGTAGTATTCTGTAGTGCAGATTTATATCCCCCAACCTCATCAGTTTGACAGTATTCACAGTATTTCAGTATTTTATGTTCTCTTCATGTTTTCATTCATCAATGTTCTCTCACTACAACACCCAGCACACATTACACAAACACATCATACATCCACTGGAAATCACTGTGGTGTCCAATCCTAACTGCTAGCCTAGCCACTGAGCTATAGGCTAATAAACACAATCAAGCTAGCTTTAACTTCTAACCTCAAGCATTTAAAAAAATCCAGCCTAATAAAATTATATTAAAAGTTATATATATATATTTTAAAGTTCCTCCTACCTTCAAAAACATCATTAGAAGGGGGATTGGAGTAAGCATGTTATAAACAAATGTAGCAATAGAAAAATTATTTTATTTTAGCCAGAGTGTATACAATCTAACTATACACCTAATATATGTAAATGACCTCTGTTCTGATTGGCTACCCTCTATTTCAATCAACATGCATTCTGTGGCAAAACAAATTAACTTTGATGTGACTGAGCAGGGCTAAATTGCTGTAGGCCAAAAAGTAAATGCATCACAAACTGAATTCAAAATGAGCTGTTTTTGCAGCTTAATTTCCATATAAACATACATAAATGAGAATACATGCAAACCGAGCCAAAGAGGAAAAGGGAAAAAGGGGAAGATGTACTGCAGAAGAAAGGAGCAGTTACAACAGCAGGAGAGGTGGCTATGCTGAGAAAAGTACAATTCTCTATCTCTTCAACATTGAGTGAGCAAAAAGGACAGACAGACAGACAGACAGACAGGCAGACAGACAGGCAGATAGATAGATAGATAGATAGATAGATAGACAGACATACAGATAGATAGATAGATAGATAGATAGATAGATAGATAGGCAGATAAATGGAAAGATAACTGACATAGTAATGTGCTTTTAACAAGTGAACAGACGCAGTGTATTTCAGAACCATGGACAGCGCCTGTCTATTGACTGCAGACTATGAATCTTTTGATAAGCAAAGATGTGATCTGAGTACTTCAGTACTGCAAGTTACACTTGTACTCAAAACACAGTTTGGCTGGACTGGCTGTCAACATGAACCAGATGAAAGAGCCGCCCAATTTCTTATACATCAAACTACCATAAAATAGAGTAAATCAAACCAGGTGTCAAAAATGTTTCATAAATAGACAAACCAATTGCTTGTCAGTGCTGCCACAAACAATGTGGGTGTAATTACGCAAAAAACATAATAATTAAAATAACATTACAAATTATCAATTACTTATCTCTAACTGTAAAGCTTGCTTCACTTCATGCTTACTTCACTTCAAATGTACTCTCTTTATTCAAATTCTACTTCACTCTTTGAAACCTACACAAACCAAAAGGAAAGTACAAGGGAAAAAACAAACAGTCCTTTAGTAATTTATAGCTACTCACTGTAAACATCATTTAAAAGGCCTGTCACTATCCCTGCCTTTAAACAACACACAGCCAGTTATGCTTGATTAAAATTACAGTCGTATCTAAAAGCTTGGGCACTCCTTGCCAAATTACATATTTTGTTGATAAAAGTAAAAAGGAGTAAAAGCAATCTCTGCAGCAAACTATTTAAATAAATAACATTTTTTCTGCAAATGTTAATGCACACCTCCTTTATATTTGATTAAATAAAAAAAAATAAAATAAACAGTAATTGTGGCTTGTGCAAAAGTTTCCACTTCTAAAGTTTAAGAACTTGTTAGGGCTTCATTGACTTGTTAGGAGTGGTTATGCAGGCCAAGAATTGCCAAAAGGAATTGTTAATAAATAATAATTCCATATCGTAATAAATTCTCTGACAACCTTCTCTACAACCTTGTGCTTCCACTCAGCAACCATGGACTCTTCTAAGCAGCTGGCTGAGGATCTGAAATGAAGCTAATTGATGCCTACACAACAGGGGAAGGCTATAAAAAGATATCAAAGCGCTTCCAGCTCGCAATTTCCACTGTCTGAAAAGTCATTAATAAATGGCAGTTAGCAGGAACAGTGGGAATCAAAGTAAGATCTGGAAAACCAAGAAACACAAGCTGAAGCTTTTAGAATGGACCTCACAGTCCCCTGATCTTTAACATGCTGACAGACCAAGAATATCGAAGATGTAGAAGCATTCTGCAAGAAAGAGTGGGTGAAAATCCCTAAAACAGAATAAAAAGACGTCTAGCTGGCTACAAAAAGTGTTTGAAAGTTGTGATATCTGCTTTTGAGGGTGTTACTAATTACTGACCTAGTGTGGTGTCCAAACTTTTTCACATGCCACAATTACTATTTACTAGTTCACATGTATAGTAAGTGTGCATTAACATTTCATTTTATGAAAAAAAGTTTTCAAAATAGATTGCTGTAGAGGTTGTGTTTATTTCTATTCACATCATACATCAACAAAATGGAGTGCCCAAACTTTTGCATACACCTATATGAACAGATAATGCTATTTGAAAACCTAGAAACTAGCCAGTAAAAACTGTCTAAAACAGCTGCTACAGGGATCTTTATCCATCAGGTTCATATTAGCATGATAAAGTACATATAAACTCAATTTGAAGAGGATTTATAGTATATCTGCTGTTTAGTATGTGTAATATACTACGTAATAAAAACAACGCAAAATATACTGTATACTATATGTTAATATGTCTTAAGATGAGGCTTGTGAGGTGCTGTCACTTCTGTGCCTGGCTATCTTACCTTTAGTTTCTTCACATTAACACAGGGGTCATTTGAGAAGCTCTCTGTGTCTGCTATCTGGATATTGGCCTTCTCGAGCTCATTGGTCAAATCATTGCGCACCTGTTAAACAGAGAGAGAGCAAGAGAAAGTGAGTGAGTGAGCATGTTAGAATAAGAGAGACGGTGGACGGCAAGGCAGCCAAAAACAATCTGTCTGATTTATGTCTCAATTCACTCTAATCTCTGGTGGATCTGACTACAAAGACACTCTGTTCACTTTCGCAGCAGCCTGAAGGCTGTGAGCCTGTGGGGCCTGTTCTCCAGTGGTCCCCTGCTCCCCCAGTGGGCTTTAGACAGAACTCAGCACTGCCTCCACTGCCTCCCACCGTCATCATTCATACTTGATCGTGAATGCTTGTGAAAAATGAACCATCTCATAAACGGAAAACTGTAGGCACACTAGAACTATGATATCATGAATATATACTACTGAGATGTGTATGTAGTGTTATACAAAAAAAAAAAATCAGAGAAGACTTGTTTCTTCTCAGAGCAGAAATCCCCAACACAAAAGACATCCACATGACAAATGGATCACAAATAATGCCCTAATAGGCAAGTTCACTCTAGACATCAGACATTGTAGCAGATAGAATTAGGATCGATCACTGGGGCTTGTTCTCCTTTTCCTGCACTGGACTCCAGCCATAACTTTTAGTGTCTTTACAGAGCTTTCAACATATTAGATGGAGAAGTTGAAGTAAAAGCATGCTAACTTGAGAGATGGACTGTGAAAAGTCCCTTTCCCACGCTCAGGGTAAAAGGCCTTGGGAATTGGACATGGGAGGCAGCAATCACATTAGATCGGCTCGTGCACTGTCAGATGCCTCAGTGATCAGCACTCTTCCACAAGGGGGTCACACTGGGTAAGCTTGGGACACACTAGAAAATCTGAGACCTTAATGAAAACCAAAGGTTAAGAATCTGAACTATATTAGATTTTACTCTTACGAGTCATAGTTCTTGCTGGCGATAACAAAAACATGGTGTAACTCAAGATTGATATTTTTTCACTCATAGCTCAAAATAAAAAGGTGTGGATTCTAAATGCTCAATTGATACCAGATTTGTGTTTCTAAGTAGAACCAGAGATCTTTTAATTATGTCCTGTTTTACAGAAAAAAATATCCTTTACAGTTTTGTCATGTTTTGTTATCTCTTGACAGAATGTGTCAGAATGTAAACAGAAATGTAATTCATTGCAACTCACTATGTAACTAAAGATGTAATTACAACTATATAATATAGATAAACAAAAGTAATAACAATTGACTTCTAAGGGTTATATTAAGCAACTATGAAGTGATTCTTGAGTGCATTACACACTTCATCACCAGCATATTTTTAGCCAATATACTGTGCTGTGCAAAAGTATTAAGCAGCAAAGCACATTACTTAATAATATTTATCTCAGCGATAAGTATATTTGTGCTTGTAAACACCATATCTGATTAAAGTAGATGCAAATAAACATAAATACAGTAAATACAGTAAAAAGCAACAAGAATTTCTTAATTTGAAAAACAATAGTTGATATCTTGTGAGCTAGTTTTTAGTTTCTTTTCAAGGTAGAAATCCCCAGATATACACAAAATCTGCAATACAAAAGACATCCGCATGACATCCAGATTTCTCCGGAAAGTTTTTTAGCCATCAAATGGAGATTTTTAATTCCATCACCAACGCAAACCAGGTACTGGATGATAACCACCAGTAATACTGGGCCTCCTCGAGAAGAGGTTTGGAAATGGTTAACATATGTTAACATTTGTGAAATCATTACCTACTGTATTCATTTTCTTTTTATTGTAATATTAGTGCTTTCTGATCAAACAAATGCTTGTTGCACAGACAAATTGTTTTTTTTAATTTTCTCCAGGGCCTAAAACTTTCGCATTTTGCACAGTACTGTGTGTACTTATATATATTTGTACACACACACACACACACTTTTTACACTGTGGTTTCAATATCTTCAGCAAATCATCAATTCTACCACAGAAATCTCATATGAAGTAGAAATATTTGTTCATTTGTAAATAATGATGTTAAACATGTGTCGGATTCTTTCTACCAGACACCTCTGCGGCTCACTTCAGTGCTGTGACAGATTCAGAAATTTGCACCCATGTGACCTTTCATACTCTTGCAGTAAGTGTGGAGAATGAATAATGTGGCCTCTTTCCCACAGCCGTGTGAACTGTCTGCCAGACGAGCTGGGCTGCTCCACATTGTTTTGATTACTAATGTGGCGAGCACATTTGCAGCTTAATGGAGATCCAGATAATTCCTGTCTAGGTGAGTGTGTGGGTGCCAGCATGAGCATGTGTATGTGAGCGTGTGTGTGTGTGTGCATGTGTGGATGCATGGACGTGTGTGAGCGCATACATAAACAACAGTCCTTGTGCAAGTGTTACAGCAGCCTGGACTCTGGGGCTCTATAACAGTTAGCTCCAAGCAAGGAGGCACGAGGCGACTGTCAGGTGAACGATGAACAGCAAAGGAGTTTCAAAGGATTATGGGATTTGAGTGCTGGTCTAAAGCTGAGGGGAGATGAGTATGATGTGATGAAATACATAATGCATTTATGCAGTGACCTGTCAGGTGAACCCGGCCTAAATAGAGTAAACAGGAAGCAGCGTGACTCAGGAAAAGGGAAGTGGAGCAGAGAGCTGGGTGTCAGCTACTGCTGTGGGCTAATTTACTATCAGTTACAACTATTCATGTCTTACACTCAATTAGACAAGCAAACACAATGTAACACGCTGGACCAAACATTACTACCCAATTACACTGCATTCCCTTTACGGCCATCACGTCGTTGTACTTTAGAGCAGAGGTGGGTAGAGTAGCCTGAACCCATTCTCCTGTAACAATATTGTTACTTTGGTGAAATAAGGCTCAAGTAGAAGTGAAAGCACCCTTCTAAATAACAGCTTGAGTAAAAATATGAAAGTAGTAGGTCAAAAAAAAAGTTGAACCATGCAAGTCCCAGCCGAGTCTTGAGTCTCTGAGGTGTGAGTGTGAGTCAAGTCTCGAGTCTTTAGTAGATCATTTTGGTTTTGTCCCATTATTAAGTGCAGGCATTGTACAAAAGTCAACCCTTACCTGCCAGGTTCGACCTGGCTTTAAAAATAAAGCCTCTCTCTCTAACAGAACTGAAATGCTACACGCAGTAAATGTGATGTGTAAAAGTGGCAAAACAACTTAAGACAGGCAATTTGTATAGCATGCATGCAAGCTAGCTAGCATAAAAGTTAACTTTATTATGAAACATGTATTATGAAAACAAATTTTCATCACTTTTTAAAATAAAAGAGTTTGATATACCAGTTCATATATGGAAACTAAGCTACATGAAAAGCCTGATCTTAATTCTTTGTTTCTGTGATGTCACAAAAAACAACACATTTACACATTTTTGTCTCTTCAGTCTATAGCTGTTTAGCCCTGCCCAGTAATAAGAAGCCTTCTTATTACTGTGTGAATGAGACACAATACAGGGCAGCCAATCAAATCAGAGGTAATTTACATAGCTCAGTCTTTAAGGCAGCAAAAACAGCCATTTTAATTCAAAGCAAAAGAACACGCTTACTGTCAAAGTTTGTTATGTGAGAATACAGAATTGTGAGCCCAGTATCATGAATCAAATCAAAACGTGGGCTGATAGTACCATTACACCCCTAGTAACTACCCACCTCTGCTTCAGAGGCTATTTGCTAGCCATTCGCTACAAAACCTAACAAGCCTGCTTATCTGTCAACAGCTCCACTGACAGCTCAGCTCTGTGATAAATGGCAGTTCATGCTCTGGTGGTGCCTCATTGTTTTAACCTGTAGTTTTTCCCACCCTTTTTAAAATGCACAGCACTCCATCAAGCGTCCTCCAGCTCTCCACCCCCCACAGCCCAGCCTGCCTCGCCTCCAGCTGATCTGAGCTCCGTCCCGTGAGAATTACACACAGAGAATGTTGAGACATCAGAAGGTGTGTGTGTGCCAGGCAGGATCTGCTTTCTCAGCCTGATGAGGCTATGAGGGCAGACAGAGGACAGCAGCCGCTAACACTGCACGCCACTGACAAATGTCAGCTCTGCCACATAAACACTGATATCCCACAACGTTCACCTACTGAGATCTGACACACATGAGGAGGAGCTGCAATGTGGACAGCATATTTTATACTTGTTGCAACGTTTCTTAAACGTCTTTTCAACAGGCCCCTGTTTTGTATTGATCATGTCCATGCATAACATTTTTGTGGTTGTATGCTCCAACAAAAAACTTTGGAATAAACTTTTACATGACCCTTGTCCAGTCTTTCTTTTCCTTTAGAATAAAGTAGGCTGTTTTTGATACTGTGTTGATATATGTAAATAACCTTTTTTCTGGTTGGCTCAGTCCCATAATACAAAACACATCCTAGGCTGTAATGTAAGGAAAAACTGTCATGTCTGGACTGAAGTGCTCAGGGACAGGGAAACTCAGACTACTGCTTTTAAATGTCTGGATCCTTTGGAAGGCTGTATCGATTTCCTTCACGACAGCCAAGAATAGCACAATATTTATTAGTTTTTCCCCACATCTTCCACTCTCATAATACCGCTGCTACAGTCTGCAGTAACAACACTCCTTGTTACTTCAGTATGAAATGGAAGGGGACTAAACTGCTGAGTATTCATGAGTAACTGTGTTCACGGTTATGACATCACAACCTTGATGAATTAAAAACATGTGTATAGTATATGTACTGTATGGACTGCAGATTGTGAGCCATTCCGTTTTGTAAGCATATAACAATCCTTCTGATGTATGCTTATTTTTACATAATTTTGTTTAGGTTTAAAGAATTTAAATGAAGAATTCACTTGTTATTTTTGGTTTTTATTTTAGAAGTTTAGTCAATCTTCTCATGTTTTACTTTATTGCCCTCTCACTTACGCTATAAAACTCTAGTCATATGTATTTCATTTTTCATTTTTTTGGAGCATTGTGTTTTATATGAAAGAAAAGCGGTGCCTGAATAAGATTTATTATCATTCCTAAGAGAACGCTTCTTCACAAT